GCAGAAATTATGTACTTTCTAAGATAATATAGACACCACTGACAAACGGCGAAGGAAAACATTATTAAGAGTCTGAAATCGCCAACCCGTATTGAACAAGCGTGGTGATTGATGCACAAATGATCAGTAGTGGCTACTTATGGGCTGTTGATGATGACTTGGGATTTTACGTAAGTAATATCGACACAGCTGCCTCATTGGCCGAGTGGTCGCAAGTGTGACTGCCGGGAAAAGGGTCTCGACCCGGGTTCGATTCCCGGGTCGGGCAAAGTATTACTGGGTTTGTAAAAACCTGAGTAGTATCACGGAGTCAGGAAATGTGCCCGGTATATGGCAATAGGCTCACCCCCTATTACATGGGACTTATAACATAAATAGTGAAAAGTGTATGTTACATTGTACAGTGGCATAATGTGCACCTCTGCCCACCCCTTCGAGGATAAAAGGCGTGATGTTATGTCATGTAATATCAACACAAAAACTTCGTGGTCAGTCAGATGGTTTCAAGCGTACACAAAAATAGATTTCATGTATTTACTTAATAGACATAAATAAGATTAAAATAAGTACTTACAATTCGTATAATATTAATAACACAAGAGGAAACATTCTGTTATGTAAGTTTAAAAATATTGGGTAATTGAAAAACCGCGTCCTTACAATAACTTAGTGATGTTCAATTTAGCCAAAAGCCTAAAGTATGTTTTTCGACTCACTTTCATATTTGACGAAAAACATAATAAGTAATTAATTTAGTATGTCTCATGAATTATAAGTTATAATATAAATACAAACACTCTAGTTCTAGAAAGACTTTTCAAAATCAAAGTCTATTCTTTAAACACTCTGTATACAGGCACTGTTCAAACGTCGAAGTTAGAATTTGTACATCATTCAGTCTATTGGTTTTTTTGGTAAAACGTTGTATCACACGGGCTTGTGCCATACATTTACAAACACATATTTCACAATAAGTACATCACATTTAGACCAGAAACAATCAACCAGTGAAGCTAAATGCACATTTTAAACTGCACACACATAACATAAATAAGTCACAATAAGTAAACCTTCGTATTATATTATTCTTTTAAAATAATTACAAAATACGTTAATTGAGAACATGACAAAACAGAACTAATGATATTGTTATTTAGCAGGAAAAATATGTCTGAGACCAATTTCAGTTAATTGTAATGTTATTTCCTTATACAGTGAAACTTGGTTAAGTGGGACCTGGATAAGTGAGAAACCTCAATAACTGGAACTCATACTGAGGTCCCAACACTTTGGCGCTGAATTACCTCTGTTAGTGGGACGAGGTAAACCTCTATATCTGGGATTTGTTCTTTTGATTTATCATCATAGTTACCTCTAAAACTGAGACAGCGAGTAAATTTTATATGCATAAACCTCTGTAACTGAGATAACATTGTTTGTTTACTCATTTTTATTCTACCCACAAATTCCACACGTAATTCCAAGTCCACCTCTATTAATGGAACCCTTTGTAAATGAGACACATATTTATTTATACTTGTATATCTGAGACACTGGGTAAGTGGAATACCTCTATAAGTGAAACGACATTGCAGGTCCCTTGATGTCTCACTTAACCAGGTTTCACTGTATATTTTAGCTAATAATACTCGAAAGCGACCGAGATGTATGACTGTGGTGCAAGTCGAAGACCTACCATCTAATCCTCTATGAGAATGAGAAAATTGGTCCAAATATAGGTACTTATGTTTGTTACTCTTTTATCCAAAAACTAGTGGACGGCTCTGAATAAACTTTAACACAGATGTATGTACCTATAGTCTATTATAGTCTGGAATACAATATAGTGTACTTTTTATTTCGAGGACTCTGGCAGAAGGAAATAATAATGATTTAGATCAGAGTAGGTAGTGTTCTCTCTGTGCATGTGCCTTAACAGGCGTTGTACAATGCGGGCTTTGGAGCTGGTCTTTAGAGAACCCAGTACATTTATTGATGGTCACCACGGGAGCTAGTCAGGTAAGAAACACTCTTAAAGTCTCAAGTCCTTTCTATTGAAACTAAAAGTTAGGAACCATTTGAAGGTTTTCGCTGTTACTAAAAACGAGACAGAAGGCGTTGAAAGAAAACATTGTAAAAATGCGATAATTCTGGAAATGTTATTTTGATGTGGAATTTTGTTTTCGTTCGGGATATTTGAATTGATATCTATTTTAAACAATTTATAGATATGTTAAAAGTACAATATACTTAGCTAAGGTGGCTCCAGCATAACAACGTTCCATCCGAACCGGTGGAGAGCTCTTCACGTGACGAGGCCATCACTACTCGAATAGTGATGTAACTACACCTGTCGATGGAACTCCAATGTTGATGGCATCTGGAAATGTGTTCGGTGTATGGCCTACCCTTTATTTACTACATGCAACTTATTCAACAACTGGTAAATAGTGGGTGACACCGTAATTACTGCGCCTTGAGCTAGAAGCTTCATGAAGTTAGAAGTGAAGTTAGGCAGAAGCACTTCTTAAGAAGCATTTCTTTTTATCTATTTTGTAAACGCTTTTATGTGTGATATTATAAGAAATAAAGCAATAAAGCAAAGCTGCTAAGGCAGCTTAGATTTGTATTGCAATGTGATTTATGATTATGAAGACATTCAGATTCAGTGTAAATAGCTGAATGAATAAAAAGAATGAGAAAAAAATGAAATAAGAACATTGATGACTCCTTAACGGGTAACCGGGGCTCCAGCTCGACGTGCAGGAGAAGGAACGGGGTGGTTTTTAGTCAGTAAGAGTCTGACACTCCTTCCCGCCTCACCCAGGCGGGAGCAGTCATTCGATGATTTTCCCCCCTTAAAAAAAGTCATAATAATATATTTTTATCATACCTAACAAAGCGTTTTACTCATCACACAAGTTTTTGTATAAACCTTCAAAAATTTCCTTTGTTACAACAATGTTAAGTTTTACGAAGGAAACGGTGTAATTTCCGACTCGATATACGTATATCGATACATGTTTCACCGCATCCCTAAACTTAAAATGATGAGCATCACCGCGCTGTGATCGCCGCGTGGCGTTGGCTTGCTTCCAAAACGTACGAGCTAAGCAAGCAATGTAAGTGTAATTCGTAAGAGTAAGGTTCTACCGGCGAAGTTTTTAATGAGTATCGAGTTACCTTATCATTTTGTTTGATAGGGGTTGCATTAAACTGTTATGTAATATTCATGGAATGTCTCTTCTCGTCGTTGGTTAGTATGGCGACTAATCTTAATGATGCAAGTTAAGGAGTAT